AGTAACAGAGGGATAAAATAAGGATGAACGAAAATTGGGAAAAACGATTAAAAATGAAGAAAGCAAAAAAAAAAGACTCTAAAATTAGTACATACTTCTAAAGTAAGTATGTATATTTTTTATAGTAAGAATATTTAGAAAATTTTCCATGAAACCTCAAACTTATGATTATCAAAATGCAGTTGAACTCGCGAGTACTAAAAGAGCTAGGTAACTATTACCAATTTAAACCTGAATAACCGCTGCTTGCACAATTACTATAGAAAGACCAAGCAAGACCATTTAAAAAGAGAGAAGGAGAAAATCATAATAGAATGATTGTGAAACTTTCCACGAAACCTCAAACGATCATCCCCGAAAAACGCATCCAACCCCGCGGATGCTATGACTTCGTAAGCCACTTAGGTTCGCGTGCCACGAGGATATTTCACTCGACAAGCGTATCGTGGATTACACACACTCACCACTGTAGAATCCAACAGACACGCGACAAACCGCTTGTGCATGCGCATGAACGCGCGTTCCACCAAGCTGCGATCACGCGCCAAATTGTGCAATCCTTCTTTCCCATTTTTTTTTTTTCCTCTCCTTCGCTTCGTCCACTCCTTCGCCGTTTGTTCGTTCCATTCGATACTCGTTGTTAGACCAAACGACGACAAATTGGAAAATATGTAAACTTGCTCGTGTGTGTGTGTGTGTGTGAAGAATATCGAGTCGAAAGTATCCAGATGCACTTTGATTAAAAAATTACAGAGCAATCAAGCTGAATTCAAGCGCTTTAAATTTTAGGTTAAAATATAGTACAGAATATTACGAATGTTGTTGAATTGATTTTCAAAAGAATTTTTGAAATTGATTTCTGTCTAATTGAATTGTTTGCAAATTAATGTGGAACTGTTTTGAAATTTGTTGTCATTGGATTCTTGGACTTTCGAATCATATTGAAGGGGGATCTCCTGAACTCTTAAATAAAAAGACTTCGGACATCAACTCCTGACTTGTGTCGTTCAGATTTTTTTTTAAATCATTTCTTCTTGGAATTTTCAATTTAACCAGCAAAGAATATAAAATACGGGATGAAACTTACGTAACTCAATTTCTCAAAGATTTGAATTTCACGTTTAATTTTAACGAAGAAGAACATGAAATCGACAAATAATTCTACAGTCTGCAACTTAATTTCTCACAGATTGAAGATTACATTTTGTTAATTTCGAAATCAAAAGATAGTAAGTAGTTGTTTACTTTTCGACTTTAGTCAAATTCAAACACTTTTTAATATAAATTGATCAAACACTTGCAAACAGCATTGCGTATACGTATATAATCTAATAAACACGCAGACATACGTAATCGAATAACGACACTTATATCCAATCATCGATACGTGAAAGTCCGTGTAACGTTACGATAATTGCAATTTTGTGTCAATGCTATCACAAGTGTCGACTCATAGTCACGAGTCACTTTCATCATGCACCGTTTCAAGAGTTGATTCGGTTGAATCACCGTGATACCAACAACTACCAAGGAAGTGTTTCTACGCTCCGATTATTCCTACGAATTGGCTCGTGATTCTAAAGGTGAATAACTTGGATATGAAGCGATCATCCGAAAGTTGAAATGTTATATCGAGGAAGGAAGTTTCTATGATGACTACTGGCATACGTTATCTGATACTAGATTTGAAAGTACCGTATAGTTACGTGTATATATATATATATATATATATATATATATATATATATATATAT